CCACCTGCCCCAAAATGAAAACCAAGCCACTCAATGGTCCAGAGACTTTCCATGGCCCCTCCCTCCAAAAAGCCCAGAGGTCCCCCCCTCGTGGACCTGGCCCTCTGCACCCAGCCCACGAGGCAGGATGGTTACCTGCGCACCTCAACACCCCATAAAACCCCTCTAGATGTGAGGGTGAGCAGGTGAGGGCGTTCCTCCTCCCTGCCGAGTCCAGCACTGTCCCTTTGGGATCTTGCAGGGATGATCCACTTTCCGGAATATGCGATGCGGCCTCTAGGGAGGTGGTGCTTGGTGGGATTTCTCCTTTTCTCCAGGGGCACCTTTGATGGACAAACTCAACATGACATTTACAGTGGTTTTGGCATTTAACCAATGGGGTTTCTCGTAAGGCAAACTGCACATTGTCCATATGGGGTGGAGAATCACAGGAATCCCAATAAGATGAAAGGGGGGGGGGAATAGGGTGCCATTAATCCTTTCTTCTCCATCTCCAACCTTAAAGGTGGTCGCTCCTCTGAAGGCAATGCTTGTGTGGGAAGGATCTTTCTCGTCACTCAAGGACCACCCAAAAAGGAGGCAGGACCAACCCTCTGGAAGGTGCACATGTGGGGGGGGGGAGAGAGATTGCAGATCCCAGCAGGGGTTCCCAGAGGGAGCGGCATTTTCACAGAAGGATACATCGCGTAGGCTGCATATTCCCAATTTTTGAACTGGCCAGACACCGCCACAATGCCTCCGGTCACTAGAACTACATAGGAGGGAGGGAGGGAGAGATCAACAACAGCCCACAGGCTAACATTTGAAGTTTCTGAAATACTGAGTGGACAATGAGAAACAGGGACAGATTCCCACTTTGGGAAGCCTTCCTGCACTCAGCATCTCAAAGGTCTGGGCAATTTTTTAGGAAGCAGCAAGAAGTCCCCTCTATGCCCCTCTGTGCTTGGTTAACTTTGCTGTGCTGTGCTTTTAAAATGAGCTTTTATCTGCTGTTGCTGCTTTCGCTCTTGGGGGCTGCTGTTTGCTGCCTCCTCTTTATTACTTATATCGTTGGCAAACTGTGCGTCTTGTTCAGACTTGTGGTGATGTGCTTTGGATTTTCAGTTAAGTTGTGATCCTGTTTGTGAGTGTTTTTATGCAGAAAAGCAAGCTATTAAAAACAATCTGCTAACTAAATCCAGGGAGCTGTATGACTGCTGAAGGCAATCAAATCAGGTGTCTTTTATCCTGCACCCATGGCAGAAGGAAAAGAAATATTTGCAAGCAAAAAAGGTGCACAGTGTTGCTTGAAATCAGAGCACTAGGGTGATGTATCACAGTGGTTAGAGCGCTGGGGTGACCATCTAGACACCTCTGTTCAAATCTTGACCCAGACTTGAAGCTTATTGTACGGCCTTCACTGAAGTATTGTTGTAAGAATTGCAAATCTTGGAACTGCAAAGCATGTACAGAAAACTCAGTTCTCTGAAGGGAGGATGAATTAAACCCTTTTAATTTTTCTTGTTTTCCAACTTGTTGCACTGCTTATTCTATTTTCTTTCTTTTTGAAGTTGTGGCATCAACATTTCTATCAAAACCTCCGCTGAAAATATTTGTAAATATAACATTTAAATGTAGGCAGGAAACATGACTCATTGCACCAATTAGGAAATCCCCCCTGATCATGAGGTTGCTGTAGTTTTAAAAAAGAAAGTTCAATGATGCCCTTTTCATGCCCTCGTTGGCATCTTGTCGAAGGCATCGGCCTTACTTCTAACCTGTCACATCCCAGCTGGGCCACAGGAGAAAGGATGCAAGGCGGGTGGGACCTTTGCTCTGAACCAGGGCTTGGAAAAGCGTGTTGGGGGATGGGGGGAGGAGGAGCTGACAAGCTTTCTGCACCCCATGTGGCCCCTTAGCGCACCTTTTCTCCTCCACATGGGTGAATACCTTAATCCAGATTGAGGTCGGTCTCACCCTTATCCTGATGGTTAAAATATATAATAACAATAAAGCAAAGCTATGAGTGAAAATGAAGATTAGAGAGAACCTGCTGTGAAAGCTGGAAACACTCTAGTGTTGGAGAGATGTAATTCAGGCAGGCTTTCATGTCTGAGGCAGTACTTCCCGTTCGAGAAACCAGATGCTGGGGAAGTCCTGCCCTCCACTCCTTGAAGACCAGCCAAAAAAACCCTTTCAAGATTTCTGCCCATTTGTGCCCTTTGGCAGCAAATGGAAGTTTGTCCTGGAGGTTCCTCTCCCGCCTGCCTTGTGTCCTCCCCCCCCCCCGTTCCCCCACCAAGCAAAGCTGTTGAGAGCAAAGGGGGCTCTCCCGAGACTCTCTCGCTTCTGGAAGGGAGCCAACTGCACATCTGGGAAGCCTCAGCAGGCACGCTGGATGGGAACATTAGCGCCCACATGAACCGGCAGGCCTTTTGGAAGTGAAACGGGATGTTCTGTACGGAGGCTGCTGCTGCGTTGTGATCACAGCGTGAAGGCTAAATCATGCAGGAAGGGAGCTGGGGAAATCGAGGTCCCACCACCTCCTCTGAGAAGACGGGCCTCTTAAAAGGGAAAGGATCTGGATATATGTAGCTCAGCTCAGCTCAGCTCAGCTCAGCCAAGAAACCCTCTCAAAAGTGGCCAGTTTGTTACCGTAAATACAGTGAAGATTTACACAAGGACAAGCCTGTAGGTTTCTCTTTAGGTTGCCACCCGTCGCCCTGCCAGAGGGCAGGACTGGATGAGCCCTGGGGGTCCCCTTCTGGCTCTACCCTTCTAGGTCTTCCTATTTTATTCAACTCAACCTCAGCCCCTGTGGATCTGCTAACAAAGGATGCTTCTGCGGCAGCTCCGGTCCCTCGGTCCCTGGTGGCGTTCCTGGTCTTCTCAGCTTAAGGGTGAGGGCAGAATAGCCCAAAACAACTGGCCTCGAATGACCTCAAAACGCTTTAAGGCGCCTCTTTGAAGTTAATTAGAGAAGGTCAATTGTTATTATAGCAATGCAGGGTAACATTGTGCTCTCTCTTGCTGTGCTACTTTCGAAATGTAACTTTGTCACATCCTCATAATTTAAAAAAAAACATTTAAAGTCACACAGATACTTGTAACTCATTCCTAACTCATTTCCAAACATTGGTGGGGGTGGCGGGGGGGGGGCACCCACTTCCCAGCCCTGGGCCGGCTTCCCAGCCCTGGGCATTAGCTGTAAGAATCTATATTCCCCTGTCACACATCCCTTAGCTTCTTGCACAAGTAATGCGCCTCTGTTTATTCTGCACTGTGCTGTTCACTTCCAAAGCGGATCTTTGTTGGGGGTGGGGTGGGGGGGGAAGCATTTACACACACACACCCCTCGTGTAGAAATGCCAGCCTTTCCTCCCCCTGGGTCTCTCAGAGGCGGGTTCTAGCCTCCAGGGAGATAACAAAAGCCCGTTGGCAAGGGTGCCTCCGTGCTAACCAGCTGGAAATGCCGCTCTGCACATGCAAAGCTTCTTTGGGAAGCCTGTTTGGGTCCACCCTGGGGCTCTGAGTGCCCTGGAGGTGCTCAGCACTTGGCAAAAGGGGGGGGGGAAGAGACACACCACACACTGACTGCCCATAAAAGCCCAGCCTGATCCCTCGCAGGCAGCTGCAACATCACACCATATTTCAACCCCATTTCCTTCCTCTATTTTCACTTCTGCCACTTCCTCAATCTTGCAGGCGACACCCCCCTTTCTCTAGCCCCCTTTCCCCCCAAACGGCGCTGGAGGGGGGGGGTCAGGGCAGGGCAGGGCAGAAAAACGTTACCAATAAATCTGGATATCGGTCTCAGCCCAGCCCTAGCCAAGGCTACAGGGAACCTTGACTGGGTGACACTGGGGGGGGGGGGGGTTGTGGGTTTCAGACTGGGGGGGGACAGCT